TTATTAAAAATAAGAATCAGTTGTATGAAACTTAGCGACTTCTCTAAGATAAAGTAAATATAGAGCATGCAAAAGGCAAACACTATGAAGTCTGTATATAGGTCAGGAGAGTTATTATCATTCATGTAAGATAATTTAAAATTAAAAAAAGATTTCATATTTGCTGGACTTCTGCTTGAGAAGTTACGCTTTAAGGTAAATCTTCTAATAGCAGCAGCTTCTCTGAAGTCAGACTACCTTAGTCTAGTGGTCGGCAAACTCATTAGTCAACAGAGCCAAATATCAACAGTACAACAACTGAAATTTCTTTTGAGAGCCCAATTTTTTAAAAAAATATATTTTATTGATTTTTTACAGAGAGGAAGGGAGAGAGATAGAGAATTAGAAACATCGATAGAGAGAGACATCAATCGGCTGCCTCCTGCACATCTCCTACTGGGGATGTGCCTGCAAACCAGGTACATGCCCTTGACCGGAATCGAACCTGGGACCTTTCAGTCCGCAGGCCGACGCTCTATCCACTGAGCCAAACCGGTTTCGGCGAGAGCCCAATTTTTTAAACTTAAACTATATAGGTAGGTACATTGTTATTAACTTAATTAGGGTACTCCTAAGGCTTAGGAAGAGCCACACTCAAGGGGCCAAAGAGCCGCATGTGGCTTGCGAGCTGCACTTTGCCGACCACGACCTGTCTAACCAGAACCGTGGCTACTGAATGCCACCAGAAAAAATAAGAAATTTATAGTAGTTATTTGGCATAATTAAATGTGTACACACTGATGAAATAGGTCTGTGTTATGATTTAGGGAATATCTTAGTAAGGACTCAGCTTTTTTCTTTTAAAAAAGGCATTTAAAATATACGTTTTTATTGATTTTTAGAGAGAGAGGAAGGGAGAGGGAGAGAGATAGAGAACCAGCAACCTTTTGGTGCACAGGATGATGCTCAACCAAATAAGCCACACTGGCCAGGGCAAGATTTGGTTATTAACACACACGATTCCTGATGTAGACTACAATTCAAAGCACAAGAGTTGCTTTTCAAGGAAGAAAGCTTATACCTTCACCTACCTCTAATGATGGTACAGTTCCTAGGCCTTTTGATGTTGTAACAACTCACTCTGGACACCATTTAGCCCATGTCCTAAAAACATCATCCAGCTTGTATGTGGCCTAGCTGGGATCAGAACCCAGGTAGGGTTAACTCCACAGTCAATAAACTTCCCTATCCTGCCTTTCAGGGCTGTGGGGAGACAGACAGGGGAGGGGGGCTGTGGAGGAAGTCAGGCCTCAGACAGTTCAGCTTGGGCAGGGCCTATGAAAGGAAGAACCTTTTATAGGGGATCGGTGAGAAAAATTTGTTTTGTTTTAGACATGTCAGGTTTGAGGTGTCTACAGGACACTCAGGCAGAGAGATCTACTTACTGGATATTTTGTGAGTTGGGTCATATTTCTCATCTCCTTTTGAAAATGCACAGAAATCTTCTGTCGCCTATAAATAATCTGAATCTTCAAAATATATTCAGTATAGTGACAAAAACTCACAGTGGTAATTTAGTTATTCTACTAGAGGCCTGGTGTATGACAGTTGTGCACTTGGTGGTGGGGAGAGGGGTTCCTCAGCCCGGCCTGCACCCTTTTGCAGTCCTGGAGCCCTTGGGGGATGTCTGCAGTCAGACATCCTTAGCGCTGCCGCCACTGTGCTCGCCAGCCCTGAGCCCGGTTTGTGGCTGAGTGGCACTCTCCCTGTAGGAGCGTACTGACCACCAGTGGGCAGCTCCTGCATTGAGTGTCTGCTCCCTGGTGGTCAGTGCACGTCATAGCCACCAGTAGTTCCTCTCTTTGGTTGATTTGCATATTACCCATTTATTATATAGGATTGTGTGATATTCACAAGACTATGAAATTGGTTGCTTTTTTGCTTCAGGTGATGTGGATGGTAGAACGTAGCATAGTTTCTCTCTGCTCCAAAGCCTGCTCCATGGTTTTGCATCCTTGGCCACAAAACTGACTTAACATAGATATTTAGAGATATTGCTATGTTTTCCCTGGTTCTCTTGAAGTTATTGACATAAGCATTAGTGGAAGGTGTGGATGTGACCTGAGATGACCTGAGGAGAAGAGCCAGCAGAGAATATTTATAAATATCCTAGGTTTGTCTTTGGTGTAAAAATCTGAACTCTTTGGCAAATGGAGCAAAGCTTCCCTTGAGCTGAATTTCTCTCCTGCCTCTTCCCTCATGGAGCCACCACATTCCCTACTCAACAGTCTAGGCACACGGATTCCTGGTGCTTCTGGTTGATGTGCCTTTGCTCATCCACATGGCACTCTCTGTCTAGACTTCTGGTTTGCCTTTCCTCTCTTTGTCCATGAAATCCTATGTCTTTCCTGAAACTATCCCCAACCACCTCTTTTCAATGGCTATCATCGTAATTCTTGTCACTCCTTATGCAATAGTCACCCTCTTAAAGTCAGGGGCCAGTCTTAATTATGTTTGCAGTCCCAATGACAAACAGTGCAGACAAGAAGCAGAGCTAATTGGATGCTCACTGACTGGTGCAATTAAAATCAGTCCATTAAGAGGCGTGTAAATGTTTGTGTAGCCTCTTCTGATAATAAAGACTCCCATGCAGATATAATTTTAAGAGTCAGCTGCCTACACCCAACCCAACCCTTAAAGCAAAGCAGCATTCTTATTCTTCCCAATAAAGGCAATGAACATATAGAATACAGAGAGGCTACTAATGATTCCTGTGTCCACCAGCCTTTGGAGAGTAGCTGAGAACAATCAGTGGAAAACCCTCAGGTACAACGGAAGTCCTCGTGAAACTAAGAGCAGGGTTCTGTTTTGTTTTGTTTTTTTTTTTTAGCATGAGCATCCCCATTTTCATGGCTTTATTGATAACTTAAGCCTGGTTGTCTTAATGCATGTGAGAGCGCACTCCCTTGAGGCAAATTCACATTATTTTGGTGAGCAGAGTTATGGCTATTTTAATAGATATATTCCAAATTATTTCATCTCATCTGTCCTTCCCCTTGGGGACCAAGAGCCTCTTGGAAATGCACACAGAGAAACATGGATGCCAAGAAATACGCTGGGACCAGGCCACAGAACCCATCCATGGCACATGCTCCGCTCTGTGGCTAACTTCCCTAAGTTTGCTAGCACACAGCAATTTCAGTGGTGCTGGAGTATCAAGGAGCCGATATTTTAGAAAATGTCACGAGTAGTTCCAAGTAGACTTTAGATATTAACAGTCTCAAGACCAGATTTGCATCAAACAGGCAAAGGCTATTTTCAATACACTTTTTTTGGGATCCCCAAATGATACTGCGTGACGATGGCCACCAAAGCGTGGCGCTCGCTGTTCCCGCTCTGACTTAGAGTCTCACAGCACCGCGTGTATCTCTGCTCATCTCCCCGGCTGTTGGTTCATTCTATCCATAGACCACGCTTCCTTTGTACCACACGGAGAGCAGCTCTTCTCCCTCCCCCACCAGCAGAGGACAACAGAACAGATTCCTGCAGGAACTGAGGATTAGAGAGTTTCCACCATTGAACGTGCTCTTGAAATAGCCTGGCTGAGGCCTCAGAGCCCAGAGATGCACTACAGCCCTTCTCACTCAGAGAAGGCAAATGTACCATAGATGTCACCGTATTCAGACATGGATCACAGTCTTCTTAACAAATCGATTCTTCCTTTGCCTTCCATGGGAGGCGCAACCAGAGAGCTCAGCACTGGTGTTTCCTTTCCCCTCCTCCATCTTCAGGTTGGCAGGGGGGGGGGGGGGGGATGTGGTGGGGGGGGGGGGGGGGGGATAACACACATACTTGGTAAGAGCAGGCCCAGGGGAAGTCATTCCCATAATTATACAGATACAACAAAAAGGTCAGGTATTAGAACTGGGTGAGCAAAAATGCACTTTCCTTCCCCCAAAAGAATGGAAAACAAGGATGTTTTATTCTCTTTTCTAAGGGCAGTTTGCCCTCCCCCTTGCCGCCTTCTTGGAAGGATTTCTCAGGAAAGCAAATGAGAGTCCGATTGGCACTCTCCTATCTGTGTGCTGGGCATGGGTGTGTGTGGTGTCCTTCCCTGGCAGCTGGGACAACCAGGGCTTGAGTGACAGTGACAAGTAATGAACCCACCTGTCCAGATGTGAGGCCCATTACACAACCAAAGCCCCCAGTGACCATGTAGGGTATTTAGGTATTTATATGTGACAAGTAGAAAAGCTCTAATTCTAGGATTACGTGAAACGAATCATCAATGGCACTGACTACACTTTCCTCAGATATAAAACTCTCTAGGGCCCAGGATACCAAACATGTTTTTAATTGCCAATTCACATAAAATTCACATTCCAGGAACAAGCTGTTTAGGAAATAATAACAGTACTTCCTACAAGTCAGGTCCTGTT